TCTTTTTTTGAGACACTCGGAATGGTCGAAGAATGATTCTCCTCCTGTGCATCATCGTCATCATCAAACATATCCAAACCCGATCGTTTGTTTGTTTTTTTTCAATAATCCTCTCATCATATCAAACTGTCCTTCCACTGTTGAAACAGCATTTTCATCATTAATTTTGCTCAGAAAATCGTTTCGTTCTTCCTCTTTATGTAATTTTTCCAATTCATATTCGTGTTGTAAAGCCTTTTCCATCTTCTTCTTTCGGATGGAGTTTACCAATTGAGTCTGAGCATTGACTCGCTTTTTCTTGATCCCCTCCACTCCTCCTGATGAGAATGTGGTTTTCGAGCTTTCCGATTTCTTCGAACTTGTTGTTGTTCCGATGGTGGAAGAAGAATGACTATTGCGAATATTATTATTTTTGGGCATTTTTTTTGTTGAACTTCATCAAACAACAAGAATTGAGAATAAGTGAATGCAGCATTTCGTGCCAAGGATGATAAAACATTTTATACAACTGTAACGACAAAGCTCTTTAGAGAAATTTGGCAATTTCATAATAGGAATTCACAAATCTATTGTTCTTCTCTTTTCGTAGTTTGATAATTCTCTAGTTTTGTCTATAAAATTACGATCATGGAATTTGGATGTTTCCTTCGTCCAAATTAGTGTTTCAACTTTTGCGTTTCGTAATTCAGACTGACGTCACGAAACATGTACAACGTTACAACGCATATCGGAGATAAATCCTATTGCACATTATGAATATTCGAAACGATGTGCATGCATCACTTCCTCAAGTGCAACGGACCCTCTTTTATATGACTCCAACCCATTTATTTCAATTTCCAAATAGTCCCTATACTATTTTCTTTTTCAGCTTATTTTCCAAATTTCAAAATTTTCTTCAAAAAGGTAATCACAGATGATAAATTAAAAGTGTAAAGTTGCTCGTCCGCGTCGGTTCAACTCGAACCAAAATGTAGAAAACTAAACGACCTCGAAAGCGCAGCTTTGATCCAAAAAGCTAAATATCATTACTCCACGACCGCATATTGCACATGCGCAAGATTCCCCAAAATTCCAAAAATTAAAATTAACAAAGTAGGACAATCAACACGATAAATGAGAGCATATTTTACATAATTGAGCAATCACCAACCTACAAAAAACATCTCCACTCTCGACACCTTCTCGGATGTCTTTCTCTGCATTACAAGTCATACATGATCGAATCAATTTCCCATATGAAAAGACAACTCCTGGATCATTATTGACCAATGATTACCTCTCCAGAACGGATCTCAGATGTTCTCACATTCCCCAACAGTCAACGATTCCCTCATGTGGAACTCTTAAGCTGACAAGTACATTACAAAGACCACAGACTCATCCTCCAGCCACATGTTCTCTACCCAAACGGTATGAACAACAAACCAACGTCAATCTTGGCTCACTTCAAAAGATCAACGAAATGACCACTTACCTCAATACAAATCAAGCACGACGAGAAAAGATCAATCATGAATCTGTAGCACTGGTCCCACAAAGTGCCACTGAATTACCCTCGCTCACAGATATTCTCTCCTTGTATAAGAGTCCAAAAGAACAAATCATCAAGGTACAACCTCAAAGGTTTTTTTTCCAACCAAGTGTGTCCTAAACATTGTGTTGTTACAACAAAAAACAACAACAACGACCTTACGAGCAACTCACACTATGGGATTCGAAAGCCTCACAAGATGACTCGACATGCAACCTCTCAAGGAAATATGAAACGAACCGTCACCCCAATGGAACACCAATCCTTGAATACAGACAAGAAGGCAAAAGTCTTCAAATTCTTTGATTACCACAACAAATCCCTGAAGAAGAGAACGAAACGATGTGATCAAGTGCAACCTTATGAAAACATCTTGCAATTACAAACATCCAATGTCCAAACTCTTCATCCGAATAACATCTTGTTGAGTGATAACAAATCCACAGATTCCAATGTAATATCTTCATCATCCAACACAGAGAGCTTGTCTGAGAGTTGCTGTTGTGCTGTCGCAACAATGACCTGTGTTGCATCTTCTTCAAAGGGAAACCGCATCCCTCGATCATCAATCTCAATAAGAGAATTATTAAACTGAGATTTATCTCGCCTTTATTTAGAAATTTCTCATCCTATAAAGAACGAGTAATTTCCCTTCTAAAGCTGGATTTAATCCAATCATTCCAATGTTTGCTGAGTGATTTTTCCGCTTGTTGGTCTTTTGGTGATTATTGACTTCTTTTTTAAAAGTCCAATCAGCTTCAATCTCGTGGACAATCTCTCGATATCTCATATTTTACCTATCCCAAAATGTCCAAAAAAGAGAAAGCCAAAAAAAATAAAATGTTGTGTCGTGGTTCTGGTCGTGATATGACGATCGCCAAATACTCCTCTCAACAAGGCCATCATGATCAACCGCTCAAGGTAACAACCTCTGGCAATCATCAGGGCGAGAAGAAACCACTCTCTTCCGTTCCAAACCTTTCTCCTACCTGTTCATCGTCGCAAGAGTTCTCTTACAGAAATATCACATTCTCCTTTCATGGTTCATTGGATCCACAATGCAAATTTTCAGATTGTTCTGAGCATTATGGCCTTTCGTTGTATGTGCCGTCATCATCACCACCACCATTGGTGGACTACAAACAACAACATTCCAGCTACCAGGTCGTCATCTCACAGCGATTATCTCCTCCTATTCATTCACCAGTGGCCAACTCCTCCTCTCAAACCACTCTGTCTCCAAACTCTCCAAATTGCAACTCATTATCACCCTCTGAAAAGAGACCTTTAAAGTTTTTTGATTACAACAAACGAAAGATTGCCAAGAAAGTGAGAAGAGTTGATCAAGTACAACCCTACGAACATGTCATTCAAATGCAAACAACGACAACCAATAAGAAGAATTCTCCAACCTCAAGATCTTCCATTCTTTCACCCAACACAAGGATTTCGATTCAAAATAAGGATATACCACAAACGACAATGCTGACTTGTGAAACCAACTCGACACGGACACATTGTGCACAAGAACAAACATTGAGAAGAGAGGTGCAAGCTGATCAACTATCCATTCATGGTTCGAATTCCACCAACACAACCACCACCGCCACAAGAAAAAGAACACCACGATATTCAATTTCAATAAAGGAGTTGCTTAATTAATGTTTTTGTATAATTTTGGTTTTACTCTGGCCTTAAATAAATGAGAGGGATGAGTTCATTGTTGTTAAGGTCAGATGTTTGGCGAAAGGTCACGTTCCCCAACTGCCAATAGGAAGCAAGGTTTCTTTCATGTGGAACTCTTAAGCTGACAAGTACATTACAAAGACCACAGACTCATCCTCCAGCCACATGTTCTCTACCCAAACGGTATGAACAACAAACCAACGTCAATCTTGGCTCACTTCAAAAGATCAACGAAATGACCACTTACCTCAATACAAATCAAGCACGACGAGAAAAGATCAATCATGAATCTGTAGAATTGGTCCCACAAAGTGCCACTGAATTACCCTCGCTCACAGATATTCTCTCCTTGTATAAGAGTCCAAAAGAACAAATCATCAAGGTACAACCTCAATCGCAATTGTGCAAACTTCCAACATTAATTCATTCAGCACCTGAAAGGTTTTTTTTCCAACCAAGTGTACCTTTCTCATTTTAACTTAACATCGAAAAACAACAACCTTTCGAGCAACTTGCGTTCGAAAACCTAGTCTCAACTTTATTTAAATCCACACGTTGAACAAAGCGACTAACTTGGAGTCTTACGTGCAAGCGTTGTTTATCCTATTTGAATCATGTCCAAATGCGTTGCTGAGAGAGTGATTTACTCTTTGGACTTTTTGGTGACAATTGACTCTTTTGATAAAAAATCTAATAATTATGGCTTCAACCTCGATCTCAAATTGTTCTCAAATTTAACCGAACCCAAAATCTCCAACTCATGACCAGTCCAAGAAAA